AAAGCCCAAACCCTAAACCTCAAAGCCTAAACCTTAAACCCTAAACCCTAAACCCTAAACGAAGCAGATCTCAGGTTACCGGCTCGTAGCCGATTATTTCCAGCGGCCGCAGATGAATGAGGCCGGCGCTGCCTTGTGGGGGTTTCCGAAAATAGGGGACCCTAATATAGTGCCCTAAATAATAGGATCCTTATTATAAGGACCCCGAAATAAGGTACCCCCTATTTTTGGAAAGTCCCTTGTAGTTTATACTTACCCATAGGCCATAGGCCCCATAGTAGTTCCTTTTTGGGATTCCCTAATAGGATTCTAAATATGAACCCCAAAAAGGAACTACTTTAGGGCCTATGGGTAAGCAGTATCTATACGGTTTCTATGGCGTTTCTATACGGGTTTCTAGAATACAAGGATGCTATGAGAATTGAGGTAAGGGCGCTTCTTCTTGCGCTGGAGGTCTGGGGTGCAGGCATTAGGGTGTAGGCATTAGGGTGTACGGTAATGATGCGTGTGCTTCCTTGTGCTGGAGGCTCTGGCGGGGGGGGGGGTACATAATTTAATTATGAACTGTCGTCTGAGATATTATATATAGGACTAATTAGTAATCATATGCCCACTTGCGGTCCCTATCTACAAAAACTACAATATACCCCAGGGTTGGGGCAGTGCTGAATTGAATGAAGCATTGCCGTGTGCTGTGGCACCGGTGAAGGGGAATCGCTCATGGAGAGCAATTTGGCGTAGGTATACATACGGCTGGTGGCGTCGCTGGATGGGGTTGCACGTATTCCCTAAACCCAAAACCCTAAACCCTAAACCCAAAGTCCTAAACCCAAAACCCTACACCCAAAACCCTGTCGGCCGGTGGTGTGATCTTAGAATGACTTGAAACAGAAAGTTCAAGAGCCGCAAGGCACCAGTGACTGCGATGTGCATTCCAGGTAATATTGGGGCTTTAATAATTAGAATAGGGTTGGGGGTATCTTATACTAGAAATATAGTAAGGAGCCCCCAAAACCTTATTCCAATTATCAAAGCCCCTACATTATACACATGCCTGACGATCATGTTTTAAGCCTTTGCCTCCCGACCACATAGAACGCCTGCACGCTGATATGTGCTAGCTCTTGCTCGAATCGAAATTATGCCTGAGGTTTGCATCACATGTCCGGGCTCTAGAAGCCCCCAGATCGCCTGACATGCTAACATCGTGTCTAGAAGTTATTCAGTAGCTCCGGTATATCCTTGCCCGGCCTCACTGGCGTTATTCGTGAGCCTTGGTGCTTTCTTGTGTCAAACATCCGGATCCCCTACTCCCAAAAAAGACTGTTTCCCGCAAGGGCTTCGCAACATCAGCATCATCTCTGCGTCAGAAACAGAGCCGGAAAGCTCTGGCGAATTTGAACGACGACATGTTTCCACAATGGCTGCTCGGCAATTCGTTTTTCGGATGGTGACTTGCTGTGAAGCTCCTCCCGGACAGAAGAAGGGATGTACAGTCCTGTTTGGGTATCCCGCCTTCCATGATTCACAACGACGATGCTTCCCAGAACTAGAGCCAAGCAAGACTCCTCCAAGTACGCCAGTGCCGTTTCAGCTTGTAATTAGGGTTTCGAAGGCCGCGATAGTAGACGCAAGGATTTCAGAGAGAAATTTGGATTCTTGTTAAAGGACTAGTATGTCAAGTTGCCATCATGATGAAACCCTCACTATTTACTATAGCCCCTATAGTGATACCTTAAACTACACTCCTTCACCGGAACTCAGACATCTTCCAGGTTGGGCCCTGGCTTCACCGCCCTCTATATATCCTTTGACGCCACCAACGTCTTAAATGGCCAGGTCTGCCTGCCTCACTTGAGTCTGTGAGCAGTGTGTGCAAACCCTGCTCATGAAAGGCAGGCGTCCAGAAGGATGCAAACAGTGTTGCTTCAAGCATGTTGCTTCGAACCATGTTGCGCACCAGTCACTATGCGAACGAATGTGGGACGCGCTGAGGTTGTGCTCAAGCGTGCCGTTCGTGAACCTCTAAGGACCAAACGACCCTGAAAGGTAAGGGCCCTATACCTTCGCCATATGAACCTTAAGCCATTTTAGGATTCACTTCGTCATCAAGGAACTGACCTTTCGCCAGGTCACACTGGGCACTTTCCTTGCGACCATCAGCCGCCAGCTCGAAATTTACGTGCTCGCCACCCTAAACCCTAAACCCTAAACCCTAAACCCTAGACCCTAAACCCTAAACCCTAAACTCGCCGCTGTTTCCCGCCCCCTAGACCCGAAATCCGACACCCGAAGGGGCGGGCCCCAGGAGGATCCCAAAAAGTAGACTAAAGATCCCGAAGCCCTAAGCCCTCAAAAGCAGATCCCTCATAATGGGTTTAGGGTTTAGGGTTTAGGGTTTAGGGTTTAGGGTTTAGGGGGGTTCCTAGAAACGTGCCCTTCAGTGTAGGGCCCCAAGTTAAGGGATCGACTCTTCGGATCTCTTTTTCGTGGGGTTTTTGGTCAGTTCGACGTGAGTGCGAGATGCCGAGACTGTGTTTAGGGTTTTTGGTTTTTTGGGGTTTAGGGTTTTTGGGGTTTGGGGTTTAGGGACTAGGGTTTGCCTGGACCCCACAAGTATGTAGAATCATAGCTGGTTTGTGGGCCTTGGGCTATTTTTCACTTACTTTTGGGGGTTTAGGTAGGAGATATGTCCACGCCCAAACTCCCCTAAAGATCGCACCTGGGCTCCGAACCCTAAGCCCGGAAACACTGAGTCCAGCAACCCCTTTAACTCCAAAGCCTACACACTTCCAGTTCAACCTTAGCTATAGTCTCGATTGTAGTTCCTTTTTGGGATTACCTTGTAGGAGCCTTCATATAGGATTGGTTAAACCCAAAAAAGGAACTACAATAGAGACTGTTGGTAGATTGATAGTCTTCCAAGACCGGACAACTCCCTGAACCCTAAGCCCTAAACCAAAGGCATTCTGGGAAGCATCAGCGGCCAGTTTGCGAGGGCTTATGGTGCTACCTGAGCTGCAGTGGAAGAGCATCGCACGGGTTTAGGGTTTGGGGCTCAGGGTTGAAAATTTAGGGTTTGGGGATTTAGGGGAGAAGGGTTTAGGGTTCAGGGTTTAGGGTTTATAGGGTTTAGGACTCCGGATTTCGGGTTCAGGATTCAGGGTTCAGGGTTTAGGGTTTTAGCTTTGGGGAAGCTGGGTCTACCTCGAAACATTGGTTTGCCTCCATAAACCCCGTAATTCAGGAGCATGCTGTACATCATACTTATTAGAAACCCTGGCAGCTTGAAGGAGAGTGTATGTTATGATTTGCCTCCTTGACTTAGGACTCATGGAGTGGTTGGGTCACCCTAACCCTAAACCGTAAACCCCCTTGTTGTTTCATCTAGGGTTTAGGGTTTCGGGTCCAGTATCGGGCCCGAACTACACTTCGACTACATGTTTGGGGCTGTTGAAATCGACGCCAAACCCTAAACCCTAAACCCCTAAAGCCCTAACTCTTCTTAGAGCAGGTTATCCTGGACATCCTGGAGCTGGCGGCTCCAGTGCAGAAGTTGACCGGCTTCTACAACAAGCCTACGGAGCCTTAGGGGTTTTAGGGCTTCAGGGGTTTAGGGGGTAGGGTTTAGTAATTTAGACGGAGCGCCCCAAGTGCTAGGGTTTTTGTTGAGGTTTGTTGTTTAGGGCAAGGTTTTCATTGTAAAAAAACAGTGTGGTGGGGGCTTCGACAACCTACGAAACACCAGCAAGCAGATCTAAGCCGATGAGACGGTTTATGGTTGAGGGTCTGGGTGTAGGAATGAGTTTCTTGATTTTTTTTTTTGGGGGGGGGGGGGTAAGGGTTTAGGGTTTAGGGTTGAAGGTTTAGGATTTAGGGGTTTACGCTTTAGAGTTTACAGCAAGCAGTTCTAAGCTAGTCAACACGACTGAACCCTGAACCCCCACAATATCTTCGCGCAGATCCAGAGCGAAGCTGCCCAGTTCTTCAATACCGAACCTTTCTGTAAACTTGTCGCGATGTGAACGATTAACCCTAAACCCTAAACCCCTTGGGCACCATTTTAGCCCTAGGACGACCTAAACCCAAACCCCCTCAGAGGACCTGATGACCTGGAAGGGCGTAAACCGGCAGCGGCGCGAGAACACGCCACTCGCGAACGCAATCCTAGTCGTTGGGTCGTCAGGCTGTTCCCTGTAGGAGCCTTGGCGGTTTAGGTTTCAGGGTTTGGCTTTTTTGGTGCTTCATCCCGTTGTTCTCGTCAATACAGAAGCCTGGCAAATTACCCGCATTGATTTCTCAGGGGGCTCAAATCTTACGTAAACTATCATGTACTCTATCCCTAAACCCTAAACCCTAAACCCTAAACCCTAAAGCCCCTATATTCCCGGTGTTCGGCTTTTGGCTTCCTGCTCCCGAACCTCTCTCGTTGCTTCGTGGAGCTTTCGGTGTCTACTTTGTGGTTTAGGGTTTAGGGTTTAGGGTTTAGGGTTTAGGGTTTAGGGTTTAGGGTTCGGGTTTAGGGTTTTAGGGTTGGGGTTTAGGGTTTTAGGGTTAGGGTTTAGGGTTTTAGGGTTAGGGTTTAGGGTTTAGGGCTAGGGTGTACAAGATGTCTCGTAGGCTTTGCTTCTTCCGTGGCCAAGGAAGGCAGCTCGCAAAGCCCTCCTGGAGAAGGAGGCCTGTTCGGGCTTCTAGGGTTCAGAAGGGTTTTATTTACAGAGGGTTTAGGGTTAAGGGTTTAGGGTTTAGGGTTTAGAAGGGTTTTATTTAGTAGGGCTGCGTTTGATCGGGTTGCACAGTGTTAATATGGGTGCCTTTGGATTTGTTCGATTGTCTCTTAGAGGGCTCGTTTGGGGCGAAAACGGGTTTGATAAGAAGGTTTGTTTAGAACCCTACCTGAACCCCAAATAACCTACCGTTTTAAGGACTTATATAAAGAAACCATACTAGGGAACCCGAAAAAGGTAGGTTCTTTAGGGTCCAGGTAGACCCTAAACCCTGAATATGGGTTCATCGGACTTTCCCCGACTTTGAAGGCGGCGGGTGGACCTCCAGTGCTTTACAAGACCGACCTCATTGAAATGAGGCAACGTGGCAGAATCCAAACCTGAAGCGGTGTAGTTTAGTAATATAGGCCTCGATCATTACCGATCTTATTTTGGGGGGCTCCTTATTAGTATTATTATTATTATATACAGGACCCCAAAACCCTTTTCTAATTTGTAAGGCCCCTACATTTGGGTTTAGGGACCTTAAACCTCAAAATCCCAAATCCAAAACCTGATTCTGAACGGGATCTTAGCCTCGATGGAATGCAGGACCCATGTTCGGCTTTCCTGCCTTTGGAAGTTAGGGGCTATCCCTAAACCCTAAACCCCTAAACCCCAAACTCTAAGGCTAGAGGGTTTCCAGGATTTTGGGAGGTCTTGCAGGGCTTATAGGCTTATGCTGTGAATAGACTTGAATTGTCAGAATTTCCGGGCGGTTTCTGCCCAAATCGCTTGCAAGATTCGAAGCGTAGCTTTACATGTCTCGGGTTTACCTGAACCTCCAATAGTAGGTACGATCATGGCCCAAGACCCATAAACGGTCAATATCCAACATACTTTTGGGGTCCAGGCAGTAATTCGGGTACTTATGGACATGAATGACGCCGTGATCCCTAAACCCTCAACCCTAAACCGTAAACCCTAAAACCCTAAACACAAGGCTACAGGGCGTGTGCTATGCAAACCCCGCCTCTCGGCGGCAAGAAGTCTTCTCAATGAGTTGGTCACTTGCGAGACGCCTTTTTCGATTGAGGATCTTGATATTCGGGATCTAATATAGGGGCCTCACTAACAATTACCTATATGATTCTTGGGGTTCCGTATTATAGTTATAGTATATTATACCCCCAAACCCTATTCTAATTCTTAAGGCCCCTACATTAGTCTGGGGCTGATTCTCCTTGAACCCTATACTATACTTTGTAAACCTCAGAGTTTACTGCTTGGCAGTTCATTTGCAACGGAGTAGACTATAACCGGATTCCACTACACTCTTTCAAGGTCCCCATCTCGGCAAAGATGTTGTTTGTTGGGCATGTAGGGTTTAGGGTTATATTTGGGGTTTAGGGTTTAAGGATTCAGGGTTTAGGGTGTTTTGGTGCTCAGCTGCGAGACGCATCACCGACGTCCTGTGGCTGATAGCACCAACACCCCGAAGTCTTGCTTACACCCTCGTCGATGCACTGACAAGCGCTTTGTAGCGTAACAGCCAGCACGAAGCAGCATTCTTGCATTGCCATGGAAGGAGCAACTAGGCTTGCGGAGTGCCAAACTAAAAAAAGTAACTCATGCCGAACATACACCTTTGCTCTCCGACAGTTATTCTGACATTCATGGTCTGAGACGTCTTCCAATGTGGACCGTAAACCCCGTCAGAGCACACCCGATCGCAACACTTAAGACTGCGATTGTAGCCCGGAGCCCTAAACCCTAAACCCTAAACCCCGAACCCAGAAGCCTGAGCTGCCATTTCCTGCCTAGCTCCACACCAACTAAGGCCAAGACGCTCTTCAGCAAAGTTGACGCCGCTCCGCTGCCCTTGAGGCTTTTTCAATATCCATCCTTCGAAAACATCAAGACAGGGTTCTTGCTAAGGATCGTTTTAGTTTAAGTTACTTTAACTGGGATCCATAGTATGTAACATGCTTCCTGATTATGGTAACCAAAATTTGTCTCCTAAACGAGAACCCAGAAGACCCTAAGCCCTGAACATAATCGTAAACCCTGTAAATGAGTTTATTCCTAAACAAAAACAAAGAAGAAGGCCCTTGAAACCCTAAACCCTGAACGCTTTCTGGGGTCATCTGGCTCTTTGTGCGAAGTCCCCAACTTGACCCCAAACGCCCTCAGCCCTGAACTACATCCATGATTGTGGATTTCCGAGTTCGGGTTTAGGGTGTAGGGTTTCGGAACTAGGGTTTCGGACTTCGGTTTTAGGGTTTAGTTTAGTACCGTTTAGGGTCTAGGGTGGTCCAAAGCCCTCAACTTCCAACTTGGGACTCTTGCAGGCTGAAGCCACAACGTTTGCCACCCCCACCACGGTCTAACTATTATCGTTACAATCGTTGTATTACTACACTATCACTACTGTCACTATACATTCATTACTATAATGATTATTCTTAGCATTATTATTATCTCCAACGTTTGCCACCCCCACCAAGGTCACCATTCCACAAGGAAAGCTCGTGGCAGTGAATGGGTCGCATGGCTCCGGGAAAGCCACCTTGATGAGGCCATGGCCAGGTTCAGGGTTTAGGGTTTGGGG